AAATTCGTCTAGGACGTTGTAGCCTATCCCTCATGACCGGACAAGTAGAATGTCAATGTCAAAAATGTATCGGTTGCCGTAACGTCGCATCGAATTAATAAATCCATGAACTTGTTATTATGTTCTGTTAAAAGTTTTCCGCATTGCCCATTTGGCAGAATTTTTGTCCCATCATGCAAACCATTCAATTCGTCGTATACTGAGATCTGTCCTTTATCTTCACTTTAATCTATACAGCAATAATAATAATAATATTACAGTATTTTGCAGTTAATCCCCATGCATTCTATGAATAACTTAGGGTTAAAGTAAAATACTTGAAGTTCTGTTATTCGCAATAAAACTTGTCGCAAAAGGAATATGAAGGAGTACAAAATTCATAAATTATGGCTATAAATGGCTCTATTGTTTACCTTTGTGACAACCGGAAACACGTTCAGCGTTTCTCGCGAGCTTTTATAAATTTATATTAGCAATTATTATAAATATAAAATAGTGTTTATAAGTTCTTATATTTGAATACAAACACCGCCTTGTAATTTTTTAAGCTTTCGGGAAGCCTTTACAATTGGTCGTTTTAAACTTGATTAAAATCACTAAATTGTTGCACGCCAACATAATGTACAATATATTATCGTTGTTTAAGGGAAGCCTCGCATATCGATTTTGTCCATGAGAAACGTCATATGTTCAGGGGCGTAGGAACCGGGGGGGCCAGGGGGGCCATGGCCCCCCCAAGTTTTGGCAAGTGCCCTTTTTACAGGAGCAAAGTGCCCTTTTTGTGCCTGAAAAATTTTCATAAAATTCGCAGTTTTTGTCCAAACGAAACTTTTGAAAACTGTAATGTAGGTTTTTTCCCGAAAAATGTTTTAGTTTCCGATAAAAATATCATATATTTGTTTTTCCGGAAAAAAATTTTAGTATTTAAGGAAAAATATGGTATGTCCGGAAAAATTTTTTACCCCTAAAATGGTACACTGACCGAAATTTTTGTCGCCAAAAAATTTTTTTGAGATGCCCTTTTTTTTTTGAAAGTGCCCCTCAAAGCCTGGCCCCCCCAACTTTTCTAAGCTTCCTACGCCCCTGCATATGTTCGTCTCTCTGTTCGTTTCTCTCTCCCTAATTAAGGGAAGCCTCACATATCGATTTTTTCCACGAGAAACGTCATATGTTCGTTTGGGGGTGGGGGGGGTTGACAGCTGTGACGTTTCTCTGTAAACATCATGGAAAAAATCGATAGTTTTTATCTTTGCAGAGTATAAAAAAGAAAACAATTTGATACAAACAGCAGTCTATATATTCGTAATACCATACCTGTTCTATACCTATACATTTATATTATTACGCCTTCTTTGCATTTGAAAACACTCAGATTTCGGGAAATACGCGCTAAAATTATCAATATTTTATGCAAAAAAAGTTGTTTTGAGAAACGTTGGAAATTTTGAAGTTCACATATATATTAATAAAAAAAGAGTATGTCAGCAGAAGATGACATATTCCTCGCGGAAGCATCGCCAATAGCCGACCGAAAAAAATAGTAGAAAATTACCTTATGTGTACTATAAGAACAAAATATCGATAACTATGTGTGACGTTTCTAAGGGGGGGTGGGGGGGTCTCCAGAGAAACGAACATATGACGTTTCTCATGGACAAAATCGATATGTGAGGCTTCCCTTTAAATTAAGGGAAACCTCACATATCGATTTTTTCCACGAGAAACGTCATATGTTCGTTTGGGGGTGGGGGGGTTGACAGCTGTGACGTTTCTCTGTAAACATCATGGAAAAAATCGATAGTTTTTATCTTTGCAGAGTATAAAAAAGAAAACAATTTGATACAAACAGCAGTCTATATATTCGTAATACCATACCTGTTCTATACCTATACATTTATATTATTACGCCTTCTTTGCATTTGAAAACACTCAAATTTCGGGAAATATATATGTTTTATTTTATGCAAAAAAAGTTGTTTTGAGAAACGTTGGAAATTTTGAAGTTCACATATATATTAATAAAAAAAGAGTATGTCAGCAGAAGATGACATATTCCTCGCGGAAGCATCGCCAATAGCCGACCGAAAAAAATAGTAGAAAATTACCTTATGTGTACTATAAGAACAAAATATCGATAACTATGTGTGACGTTTCTAAGGGGGGGTGGGGGGGTCTCCAGAGAAACGAACATATGACGTTTCTCATGGACAAAATCGATATGTGAGGCTTCCCTAATATGTCTGATGAGTGTGCCATAAATAGAATACACGCTATATTACGAAAGCAACAACTTAACTTTATAGTTAACTTGCTACCTGGATAGTTATTTTTCGCGTGTTAATTCTTCAACAAACAATTTAATCTCGCAAATGTAATCTTTAATCAAACGTTCGGGAGTTGTCGAAAAAATTTCGAGGTAGATTACGTTTGCAGCCAAATTTAAGTTTCTCTAATTTATAAAATAATAATAAAAAAAGCACAAAGACAAATGCTTGTGGACCACTTGTGGAAAATGTTTGCTGAGATAGACGTATGCCGTCCTATATACCACGACGCGTATGATTTATGTGACATGTACAAACAGAAGAGCCTATGGCCCGGTTTAGACGGCGAACTTTTCATGCGCCGAATCTAATTGCCGTAGATACGGCAAAATATTGGAAACTGATTTAGACGTCAAACTTAATCGGTGCCGTTCCAAATTGCGAGGACACTATATTGGAATATTTACAATGCAAATATATGGTAATCATATTATGATGTTAAAAAATAATTATGCCATTAGGTTCGGCGCATGAAAAGCACGGTGTCTAAATCAATGTCGAACTTGTGTCGCATATACGACTTGTCTTGTCGCATCTTCGAGTCGTGTCGAACTTAATCAAAACCTGTCGAACTTAATTGATTTAGACGCCGTCCCAGCGTCGCACTTAATCCTTACATTAGATTCGGCGCATGAAAAGTTCGCCGTCTAAACCGGGCCTATATCTGTTTTTAAAATAACGATGCTGAAAGAAATTTGTGCGCATTTTGAACTTCAGTTCAAATCAAATGATAAAAAACAGATTCTCATAGATAAAATATCATCCATGATTGGACAATGCACATGTTTCCAAATAAATAACTAAATTGTGCAGGTGCGGACAAATACTCCCAGACTAACTTGGACATGTCGAGAGATGTCATTGTTCTTGGTCCGCGAGTGTGAGGAGCCTGGAACAGTATCGTTAACCCAAATCAAGTATCAAAAACGCCGCATACAAACTACGATGTTATGTATTTTTATTGCTATAATTTATACTACTATATATTATGAGACAAATCAAATGTTGCCGAAAAATACCAATTGAAGTTGAAAGTTATTCACAGAATGGCGATTAGCTGCAAACTACTGTAAGATTATTATTATTGCTGTATAGATTAAAGATAAAGGACAGATCTCAGTATACGTCGCAGTTTATACGATGAATTGAATGGTTTGCATGATAGGACAAAAATTCTGCCAAATGGGCAATGCGGAAAACTTTTAACAGAACATAATAACAAGTTCATGGATTTATTAATTCGATGTGACTTTACGGCAACACACATTTTCGATATTGGCATTGTACCTGCCCGGTCATGAGGGATAGGCTACAGCGTCCTAGACGAATTTATTTCTTCTAACCGTTTTAGACCTCAAAGATCGATCCGTCGCATTTCATCGATCTAATTAAACTTTTCTGAGTTAAATACAATGATATTGTGCAATATATTAGTCGCTATAAAAATTCCGCGAGCAACATTGAACGTGTTTCCGATTATCACAAAGGTAAACAATAGAGCTATTTATAGCCATAATTTATGAATCTTGCACTCCTTCATATTCCTTTTGCCGACAAGTTTTATTGCAAATAACATAACTTCAATTATTCTACTTTAACCCTAAAAATGTTTTAGACACCAAGTAGGTTGCACTTTTGAGAATTTTTAGTTTGAATTTTGTACCTAATCATTAGTTGTTCGGCGAACGAAAATACCGACTTCCTTGGATGGAGAGTAGTAGGCTTAAAATAAGATGTACATTCGAATTCTTTCAACATTCTAAAAGAAGAAGAATATGTCTCAATACTCTGAAAAAAGTTTTTAATTTGACGCGAAACTTTCCGAGTTATGATGCACAATTTAACACATATTTGACCGCCGTTTTCGGGGTCAAATTTCAGTGTCGCTGACGTCCAGACAAAAATTCGTCATAACTCAAAAAAAAAGAAAAATTTAGAAATTCTAATCTTAGTTTAATACCTTTAAGGACAAAGGTAGTTCATGGTAAAAATATAAAGGAAATCTAATTTTCAACTTGAAACGCTCTGCATGGTTCTTAGTGAGACAGCCACTTAAACTCCCTAAAACCTGGTTCACATATGCCTGCGGTATGCCTGCGACTGTATCATTATGCCTCTACTTGCCGCCGAAATACCGGCAAAGTTGAACTCAAGTCAACTTTCCCGGCCTACCGCCGATGTAACTGAGGCACTTGCGCCAATCGGCGAACAAATGTTCACATAATTTACGTTTTAAAGCTAGCACCGATATCGTCGCCGGTACGTCGCAGGCACGTCGCAGGCATATATGTGAACCAGGCTTTACAGTGCGTCTACAGTAAGTGGAGCCACTTAAAGAACACTAACCAATCACATTGCAGAACAAAAATTGAAAAAATCAACAAGCGGCGCATTAGCCAATCAGCATTAGGCCAAAAACAATTTGAACAAATAAACGAATGTCAAACGGTAAAAATAGACTTGTAAAAGTAAACACTGCAGTTAATGGCTTCCTGAATCTTTCTTTTGATTGGACGAGCTTTAGTTTGATTAGATTTTTCTTTTTGTTCTGCAATGCAATTGGTTGGTGTTCTCTAAGTGGCCCCACTTACTGTAGACGCACTGTAAACCGATATTACTGCAAATTGCATTTATGAAAATGAGTAAACAGAATGAACAGTTTTGGTAATTTTTATTCAGGATAACTTCATGATGATGGAGGATGCAGTGTTGTGTCTGACATTCAGTCGAGATAGTGAAATGTTAGCCTCCGGTGGCCAGGATGGAAAAATCAAGGTTTGTCTTTAGACTCTCACGAGTCACGATGAAATAGAAATTTTAAGTTTTAAAGAAATAAAACAAAACTACTTCGTCATTTCTGTTCATTGCATGGTCACCACCACATTGAAAAGAATTTGCATAATTTTCTCACTCTGATATGAAACGCAAGAACTCCCTTTACAAATGCCAGAACTCCCTTTTCAAATGGTAGAACTCCCTTTACAAATGCCAGAACTCCCTTTTATACAAATGCCAGAAGTACCTTTTCAAATGCCGGAACTCCCTTTTCAAATGGCAGAACTTGGTTTTCAAACGCCAGAACTCCCTTTACAAATGCCAGAACTCCCTTTTCAGATGGCAGAACTTTGTTTTCAAATGCAAGAAGTACGTTTTCAAACGCCAGAACTCCGTTTTCAAATGCCAGAACTCCATTTTCCAATGCCAGAACTTGGTTTTCAAATGCCAGAACTTGATTTTCAAATGCCAGAAGTACCATTTCAAACACCAGAACTCCGTTTTCAAACGCCAGAACTCCCTTTACAAATACCAGAACTCCCTTTTGAAATGGCAGAACTTGGTTTTCAAATGCCAGAAGTACCATTTCAAATGCCAGAACTCCGTTTTCAAACGCCAGAACTCCCTTTACAAATGCCAGAATTCCCTTTTGAAATGGCAGAACTTGGTTTTCAAATGCCAGAAGTACCTTTTCAAACCCCAGAACTCCGTTTTCAAACACCAGAACTCCCTTTACAAATGCCAGAACTCCCTTTTCAAATGGGAGAACTTGGTTTTCAAATGCCAGAAGTACCATTTCAAACGCCAGAACTTCGTTTTCAAACGCCAGAACTCCCTTTACAAATGCCAGAACTCCCTTTTGAAATGGCAGAACTTGGTTTTAAAATGCCAGAAGTACCTTTTCAAACCCCAGAACTCCGTTTTCAAACACCAGAACTGCCTTTACAAATGCCAGAACTCCCTTTTCAAATGGCAGAAATTGGTTTTCAAATGCCAGTAGTACCTTTTCAAATGCCAGAAGTACCTTTTCAAACGCCAGAACTCCGTTTTCAAACGCCAGAACTCCCTTCATAAATGCCTACGGTATTACGTATGGCCATGATTTTTTCCTGTGTTAGGTATGGAAGATGCAAACTGGACAGTGTTTACGTCGTTTTGAACGAGCCCATGCAAAAGGTGTAACATGTATCAATTTCTCGAGAGATGCAAGTCAGCTTCTTAGTGGTTCTTTTGATATGACCATAAGGTACGGCATTTATTTGATTTTGGAGTTGAGATTTTTATTATTGTCATTGGTTTTGTTTAGAGTTTACAGTAATTGTTCTTGTATAATAAGACATTAGCTAATAGTAAACTGTTGTCCACGAACAATATGTTCATAAATAGTCATTGGCCATAAATTTGCATGGCCATAAAGTGCATGATGTGTTTTCTTTGTGCATAATGTTGTTGTATATCTCCTCGCTCAGAATGCATGGCTTGAAATCTGGCAAGACGTTGAAGGAATTTCGTGGTCATATTTCATTCGTCAACGATGTTGTATTCACTGTGGATGGACACAATATTATCAGCGCCAGCAGTGATGGCACAGTCAAGGTGAGGCGAACTTCTCAGTCTATATGTTAAACAAGGGAAAACACTTGATGATGGGGATGGTATGTGGTGGGGAGGTGGGGAAGATGTAGACAATTTTAGCAGTGATTGGACAGTCAAGGTGAGCCAAACTTGTCAGAGTGGAGAATACTTGATGATGGAGGTGGGGTGTGGTGGGGAGGTGGGGAGATGTAGACAATATTAGCATTGGACAGTCAAGATGAGCCAAACTTCTCAGAGTGGAGAATACTTGATGATGGGCGTGGGGTGTGGCGGGGAGGGGGGGGAGATGTAGACAATATTAGCATTGGACAGTCAAGGTGAGCCAAACTTCTCAGAGTGGAGAATACTTGATGATGGGCGTGGCGAGGTGGGGGAAATGTAGACAGTATTAGCAGTGATCGGACAGTCATGGTGAGCCAAACTTCTCAGAGTGGTGAATACTTGATGATGGGGGTGGGGTGTGGGTGAGATGTAGACAGTATTAGCAGTGATGGGACAGTCAAGGTGAGGCAAACTTCTCAGAATGGAGAATACTTGATGATGGGGATGTGGTGTGGTGGGGAGGTGGGGGAGATGTAGACAATATTATTAGTTCCAGCAGTGATGGCACAGTCAAGGTGAGGCGAACTTCTCAGTCTATATGTTAAACAGGGGAGAATACTTGGTGATGGGAGTGGAGTGTAATAGGGAAGGGGGGAGATGAACACAATATTATCAGTGCCAGCAGTGATGGGACAGGCAAGGTGGGCCAAACTTCTCATCTATATGTTAAACAGTGGAGATACTTGGTGATGGGGGGGGGGGGACATGAACGGCGTCGTATGTTAAGATAGGTTGGATAGTAAATAACCAACTTTTGCTTCATTTAGGTTTGGAACGTGAAAACAACGGAATGTATTCACACATTCAAACCAGCAGTTGGTAGTGTAGCAACAGATATTGCTGTGAACTCGGTTCATCCCATACCTAAAAACATGGAGCAGTTTGTTGTTTGCAACAGATCCAGTACGGCTGTGATCATGAACATGCAAGGACAGGTAATAATACATCTTCAAACTGCAATACATTTGCACCTGTAATTATTTGCATGTACATCAGGCTTCCCTATACCGTAGACAATCGCTGGTTGTTTCTCGAAATTATTTCCTTACCGCAGAAATGTCAAGGGAAAAGTTTCATGCTTTTAAAATATAAATTTTACACGATATTCTTCGTTTAATGACGAAATCGTCAAAACATCTCTCCGAAATGGCTGGAAACTTGCTACTCTGGGCGGTACTTTGGACTTCTTCCAAAAAACCTCCTGCTCCAAATTCGATAGTATTGAGCTCATCTGGGGCCGGTTGCTCAAAGGTGGGTTAGCGCTAACCCTGGGTTAAAATTTAACCTGCTGTTTTAGTTTGTATCTTTCTGCACGTCTGTTTATTTCACAACTTCAAAGAAGAAAACTCCTATCGATCCAGACAAGATCTCTGAAGAAATATTTCCAAATTTATAGACAAGCAGTCAGGAAGTTTCCTTTGAATTTTACGTTAACCTAGGGTTAAGCTAGCCCAGCTTTGAACAACCGGCCCCTGCTCATCTGATACAGTTCCTCGTTGTATCTTTCAGATCGTACGTAGTTTCACATCAGGGAAGCGTGAGGGTGGTGACTTCACTTGTTGTTGTCTGTCACCGCGAGGGGAATGGATCTACTGTGTTGGTGAAGATATGACGTTGTATTGCTTCAGTACTTCCACTGGCAAACTGGAACAATCTTTGCAGGTAAATACAACTCAAGGGGCCGGGCCGGGGGGGGGGGATTATCGGACCACGGAACCATTGGTTCCAGAAAGTTTTTAGAGCTCCCCAAATTTTTGAGTCCCAAAATATTTCCCCAAGAAAGAAAAAAAGATAATTGTAAAATAAAACCAATAGAAAGAAGTGTAAAAACCAATAGAAAGAAGGTTACCTGTACTGTAGGTATGAGCTCAGAAATGCAATTATAAGTGCATTTATCTTAATAGTGCGATAGTGTATAAATGTATAGACTATAGAATGATGTAACAAATGTTGTGTGGCAAATGCATTTTTAGAGCAAATCTGGGACCCTGATGTTCAAAATTTTCTGGGGGAGAATGAATCCCCAATGGATAGTGCCCCCTAGTAGTGCCCTTTTTGGCATTTATATTTACCTTAGGATCAGACCCTTGATTAGTTTTATGTTTATATATTCCTAAAAGTATTATTAAGATTCTCAGTGCACTGACATAATTTTTTTCTGTGAAAATACAGCATGACATCCAGTTTGACAACTTGTACTAGTCCCACAGTTACAGTGTCCGAGTGTCCATTTACTTGATTATTTGCAGAAAATTGTCAATGTTCTCTTGCGTCCCAGAAAGTAAAATTTTTTCCACCGCCTGTCTTGGGGTTATCTAGCTAAAATTTATAGTTCAGGGTTGTGATTATCTTTTGTGTTTATTTTCTCAAGGTACACGAAAAAGATGTGATTGGCGTAAAACATCATCCACACAATAATCTCATCGCGACATTTAGCGAAGACGGACAACTGAGGCTATGGAAGCCTTAAAACTCTGTATATATATAGTAGGTTTTAATTTCTAACAGGCTATAACTACAGGCGAGAAGTACTACTTCAAACCATTGGATTTTGAATGTCATGAGATGGATTGGACAACCTTTTGGATTGACTCGCTGTTTGACAATTTCTTGGCTTGAGTGGAAGATAAACTCTTCAGCGTTGCTCAGTATGCAATGTGGTATTTGGAAAACGTTTGAGTTTGCATATAGGCCTAAAACACTGACACTGTCTTTCTTACTTCCCTTATCAAACTTCGCATCGTGACTTCGGAAACATCCTTTTCAGAACTTTGGGAGGTGATAGGTTTTTACTGTAATTCGAATCAGTGTAAATAGTTTGAGCATAGACAATCCAGAAGACATATTTATTGGTGTGATATTTGTCTTCTGGATTGTCTATGGTTTGAGAGATCACTTTATGCTAATAAACGGATACAACTTTTTAAGTTTCATATATTGCAAGTATATGAAATAACTGGGGGAAATTTAATAAAAAGAACAGCCAAGAGCATTTGACAGAATCTATAAATTAACTAGCTACAATCTTTGACATAACCCTTGAGATCGTTCCAGCCAAAATATTGCAAAGTTAATGCACATTGACAAAACAGACTTTGTTTCCTCCCTCTCCAGTTCAATGCTGTAAACAGCGCCGAAACAACTTTTGGTAATTTACCATACACAATAAGGGAAAGGTTGGCGCTGATTGGTTGAGTTTATTGAAACTGTCAAATGCTCCAATCAGTTACCAACATTGAAATTTCACGAGAAATTACTAATCAGAACGAGGTGGCGAAAATATGTTAATTTCAATGAAAATTATATAGGGCCCAGGCCTTCGCGTTCGAAACGCGACTTGTGCGCCTGCAATACTATAAATGCACGATCAGCGGTTAATTGCAACACAAACAGTGACAAGAATAACAACAGTGATACAATTGTGACACAAACAACACAAACACGTGTTTGGAGAAAATTTTTAAGATCGTAGAAGAAAACAAAATGGCAACTGCTCCTGTTAAAACGAGTGCTGGTCGCGGCCGTGGACGGGCAAGGACTTCAGCATCGTCACTAAATAGTCCTGGGGGAAATGGCCACGAATTCAAGAAATACGTCCCGATATTAAACAGCGCAGAACCGAAGGTTGTAAATGTCGACACTTTTAAACCGGTGGAAGAGTCATTAGGATTGTGTTTACGGGAAATCACGCCAGAAAATTTGCAGTCTTGTTTATCGAAGGCGGAGGAATTCGCGATAACCGACGAAAAGATTAAAAAGGTTGTCAGCTCGTTGTTTGAAAAGAGCTTGAAAGATCGACGTTTGGCGGCAAATGGCGGTCAAGTGGCTGCCACATTGATTTCATCTGAGAAAATTGGTCCCACATTCCGAAATATGTTTTTGAAGAAGGTAAATATATATTCGATATTTATTATACCTTTGTATTTATATCTTATTATTTAATATATACAAATATAATCATATTAATTAAGGGGTGGACCATTAGAAAAAGTGGAATTGGGGGGACTTTTTCAACTTGCACTAATATTTTTTAAAATTTTTTGCTTGTGTAGATCAAACTTTTTTTGTGCACGAATTTTTTTTTCTTTCTGTTTCCCCTGCACGATTTTTATTTTTGCCCCCCCCCCCCCCATTCTAATGGTCTGCCCCTAAGAGAGATATAACTTAACATGTATGCCCAGGTGCAACTTCATGTTTTTCCAGAGCAGAAGAGCTTTTTAGTTTTGACAGCCAGCTTCAGGCTGATTTGCTGAGCCAACGAGACCTTCAAGTGCTTATTAATACAAACATTGAATTTTTGCCTGAGAATAGATAATATGCCGATAATATTAGCTTGCATGAATTTTTTTGGCCTTCTGTCTGCGCTGGCACTATGCTTTCCTCTTTGCACAAATTTTTTTCTTTTATTTTCCTTTGCACAGATGTTTTATTGTCCCCCCCCCCCCACTCTCTCAACTGGTCCTCCCCTTTGCCCGCAGAATGGAAATTTTCTTTGTCTTGTGATTTCTTGGTGGAACTAATTAGAGAAGCAAAATCCCACCTAGTGGAAAACCGGCTTAAGTGGAACACATTTCAGAGTACATTGTGCTGCTCAATTTTACAGTTTTTAATTCCAAATTTTTAATTCTAATTACCCATTCCTCTAGTTTCAAGAAACATATACCAATCGAGACAAACAAAGGAAAACTGATTTTGAGAAATATCTGTGTTTCTCGGTCTTTCTTTGTTCCATATTCAAAGATGTACGAGTGAATGGTGAAGTTATGAATATATTGACCAAGCCAGTGTTTAAGCCAGTGTTTAATATGCTTGGGGAGCTCTTGGATGGGAAAAATGTGGAAGTTTCACAGACGGAAAAAGGAATGGAAATTTTCCGTGATAATCTTTCTATGATTGCATCACTCCTTCAAGCAGCAGACCAGGTATGTTTAATAGTCTTATATTGTTAGCTCATTTAGTTGCAACACTCTCCTCTCTCCTCTTAGGGTGCATCATGGCACATTGCCACTTACAGGGTTAGTAGGATGCATGGGCAATAGCAGACCTCTCAACTTTGCAGAGAAGTTAAGAGTGAGATTGGGGATGTGGATGACTCCTTTGTAAAAGACTCCGGGGGTCTGAAATGGCATTTGGTGGGTCTGAAATGGCATTTGGTACATTATGAGAGTTGGTGTTTTTTGTAATGAAATACATTGCTTCATAACGTCCTTTAAGACAAGGCAGTCTTTAGTTTAGTTACAATAACTGTATTTCTGCAACATACAGTAATGAGCTTTAATTTGCCTTTGATAATTTACATATGGAATTCTGCTCCGACTGATTCTTCCTTTTGTCCGCCGTATTTACATAATCAGTATGCGTACTATTTTGTATCCAAATTGCGGGCAAAATGTCGGGCCGTATATGCAGGAACAATAACACGCGATTATATATTCGATTCGCGATCCGTATAATGATTAATAATGTGCATGTACAATATTATATTTATTGAAAGAATACTATGAAACTGCTACATGCGTGAGATTTATTAAACGTGGCGTGAGAGCGTGAGAGTGAAGCGAATTGCGTGAGACTCACGCCGAATGCGTGAGAGTTGAGAGGTCTGCAATAGTCCAATTAACCCATTGAGTGGCAACACTTTTCTTCTGATGAGTAAAATCGCATGGTGTTAGACAGAGTAAAATAATAAAGTAGGGATCTGCATCAGTTGTCACTTACAGGGTTAAACATATATTAATGTAACAAGCCTGTTAATGAATTGCAACAATGTAGAGCTTTAAAGCAATGCACTAGATATAATTTATTTGTTAATTTATTGAGTCCGCAATTGACCATTTGCGTAATAGACCACATTTTGATCTAAACAAGTCTAGACAAAAATTTCGTCACAGCTTGAAAGAGCATCACAAAATTAGTAATACTCCAAAGTTTCGTTGCAAAATGTTGTAAAATGCGTAAAATATAGCCTTGCGAAATTTTCAATTTTCAGCCATTTTAGATTACAAACGGGAAATTGACAGCCTCAAAGCGCATCGGGCTGTCAATTTCCCGTTTGTAATCTAAAATGACTGAAAATTGCAAATTTCGCAAGGCTATATTTTACGCATTTTACAACATTTTGCAACGAAACTTTGGAATATTACTAATTTTGTGATGCTCTTTCAAGCTGTTATGAAATTTTTGTTGAGATCAAAATTTAGTCTATTACGCAAATGGTCAATTCCAGCTTGAAATAATAATATAACATCAGTGGAGTTTCATGTTGGTGTTTCAAACCGAGAAAGTACTCAAAATTTATAATATAATATTTCCAAACCTACATTTATAATTTTTTTTAATGTGAATTAATATTATATAGCGTATCTTGATATATAGTTTATTTTCTCAGGGCCAAATGGATGAATTATTCAAGAAAGTGCGCAGCAATATAATCAAGGAAGCGTCACACAAAATATCCTGCATACTTCTAGAGACTTTTGAATATTATTCAAGTGGTGATTGGACACCCAAAGACGAGACAAAAGATTTTTATAACAGTTTAATGGCTGACATAACTGCCAAATCATAAGTAACATTCATAATTACACTCAACAGTGAACATGCATACAAAACGTGTCACTCAAAGTTTGTTCATTCAGTCCAGGAAATATCTTGTTGTAAAAATGTACATTTTAATGTTTAGCTTACAGTTACTGAGCTGGGCATGGTTTTATTGTTATTAGTTATTTCAACAAATTTGTACACATATTAGGGGCGGACCATTAGAAATCTCGGCCCTTATAGATATGGTTGTGTTTTATATAAATTTTGTAACAAATTTGTGTGTTGTGTAGCTATTGAATATTATAAAAGTAGATCATGTATAATATTTTTAATTAATTAAAGTATGAATATATTAACGGCTTTAGCTTAGGAGGACTACTTTGCCATCGGCAAGGCAGAAAGGAAGAACGCTTCAGATAGGATGCCGGATTTTGGCATACCTTACACACAGTTATAGACATGGGAGTTTGCGGCTATAAAGGACACCAGATTTCAGGATACCTTATAGCCAATGGCAGTAACCGGTTCGTGGCAATGAAGGATGCTGGATTTTGGGATACCTTATCACAGAGTAGATACATACAGAGCTGTAACTGCCCATCGTAAACACTGCGGAAACTTACGTTTTCTTTCATGTACCCACATTTTTTTTAAGGCGACCAGGCAAAAAATGATCAACTGCGTGTGCTCGGCAAGTTCCTCGAGCAGTTAAAGCGAGCCACCATCCAATGGGATGCATACATCTGGTAACTTGCCGAGCACGCACACAAAAAAGTGAGTACACTAGTTATAACTCTGTATATGTATCTACTCTGTGACCTTATAGCCACAGCAATATAGCCATGGCGGCCCGATGTTTTTATTTGCGCCTGTTCATCGTTCGAAGCAAACGACGGTGAAAGGTTGTTTATACTGCTCACTACATGAAGTATTTCATTGTGGTTGTTATGACGATGGCACGCTGATCTTGTAAACCGTTGACTCAAAAGTTTACAAGTTTGTTTTGTTTTCTTTCTCGTTTCTTGGAAGAGACTCGAAATTACTGCGAAAAAGCGTCAGAATTAATAAAATTAGTATGCCATATAAACAACTGGATAAACATTCACCTGTTGGTGTCTTAATGACTTTGAATAAAAGTAAAACCAAAGGACAAAGGTTAGTAGAATTTTTTGCTGCTTTAAAATTTAATTATTAAATTGTAGCAAAGATGTGATTCGATCCAAATGTGGTTTAATACCAATGTGTTGCACAAATTAAAGAAACTCATTAGAATCTCAATATCTGATTTTACAGTAATATATTTGATGTGTATTTGCCTTTGTGGTATTAGAGTCTCCTGAGATTGCTCGTGGTTCCTAAGGGAAGCTGCCGAAATTTATACAAAGCAAAATATTTCTCCCTTTGGTAGAGCAAAGGAAAGGTTTCTTGCTTTCCTATTAAACATAAATTTCACACAATACTGGGTAGTATAAACTATTTGGATAAAATGACAAAACCTCTCCAAAATGGCTGGAAATACCATTTCAGAGGGTTTAAATTTCAGAATCTTTGATTCACAGGGAGATGTCCTCAGTTCCTCTCCCGGGCAAGTAGTACCTCTGGCACTACATAGCCGCTTACTTTTCTCAAAATGCCTCCTTGCAACTCGACTACTGGGCCAACTTAAAGAAATAATAATCCGATATTAGGCTGGTGGGTCACCAGACGGTTTTACTTGTCAAAGGGAGAAGATGAACGGCCAGGCTCGTCATTGAACGGCCAGGCCATGCATTGCGTCCTAATCTACCCTATTTAATTATTTTACTCTTGTCTTACCCTGGTTCCAGAGGCTCTTTGCGAGGTGAAATCTTTGCGAGGCAAAAGAAACAAGAGGTGAGAAGGAAGAGCCTCTGGTCACATCGGTTGCAAATCCAACTTGATTAGGTTCAGAATTTGAATCTTGCATGTGATTGGACATTGCGTCATTCCAGAAAACATCCATACCACCCCCACAGAGGAAATTGGAAGTTAAACCCCCTACCCCCTTTGGATGTCCTAATACATTTACTATTATCAGAAACAGTTTTCTCTCCCCTCCCCCTCCAGACGGCAGAAATTCCCTCCGTGGGGGAGTGTGGATCTTTTCTGGAATGACCCATTTGTAAAAATATGTCAAACCAGTTTGGGAAATAAACATTACTGAAACTAATTATAGCTATATATACATATAGATATACATAAATTAAATTAATTAACATTATTTTCTCACTTTTAAAATCCACCTATAGCAAATGTAGTTTTCATGATTCCACATAAAGTTGTCAAGTTTGTACCCAATAAGACGTGTCTCATGATGCAAGAACCATAAAAAGCCATCTTCATTTCTCACTGAACTTGCCACCATGCAGAAGAAGAAGGTTTCAAATGTTTATGGTCAAGTGTATGGCTTTGTTAAAGAAGCAGTTAACTCGTTAGATCAGTTGTACCCCGGTGACCATATTGCATATGAACGAGTCAAACTCTACTGGCACCATGTCATTGTCGAAGATATTGACAAGGAAACTAACGAGGTCAAAGTCATCCATTATCATAATAATGTTCGGGAGTTTTTTGATACAACTCTTAATGAAGGCTCGTTAGCACAGGTGATTAGAGGCTCAATTCAGTTTTGGTCTAAAAGGTAATTAAAAATACTACTAGAGTTATATTTATTTCGTGGGTAGGGCCTGTGTTAGAGAGGTGTCTGCACTCCTAAAGTAGGTCTTAGCAAAGTACTAGTTTGGACTTATCTCAAGTTGTATCAGAATTAGAGAGGTGTCCAAATTAGGAAAGGCCGAAAGGGACCACAAGGTTGACTATTTAGGCTAGCATTGCACACTTCTAATGTATATACAGTAGGCTTTCGCTTCAAAATTGATGTAGTTAACTTACATTTAAACTTTGTATTTCTACCAGATTTTATCGTATTGTCTACGAGGAAAGCGAGGTGAACCCACCTGAGAAAGTGTTAGAGCTTGCGTGTGGAAGACTGGGGGAGAAAAAATATCACCCATTGACTGGCAATTGTGAACATTTCTGTACAGAATGTAAGATTGGGAAGCGTGTCAGTATTCAGGTGAATAGAAGAGAGCTTTAGATTTCACTACGACTATAACTGCAATATTTTATTTTCGTATCAACTTCTTCGAGATTTTGTTTAAATAATTAAACTGTTCTCACTGACGCGACTCATGTTGTCATGCATGCGTGAAGATTTAATATCTTCTTCTGAATTTATTTTTCAGGTGGAGTCTTTGGTTGAAAACACAATTGCGACAGTGCTACCACCATTAACAAGAGCCCTTCTAGAACTCTTACTCAAGAAAACCGTTCAGAAAAGCATCGAAGAATTCACGAAAAAAACTGCAAAACGTTTTGCCCAAGAAATTCTCACCAAGCTTTCACAGACTGTATTTCGCATAGCCTTATTGCGTTGTATAGGATTTGTTGGCTCGCAGGTAGCGTGGGCGTCCTTACAACAAAATACAGCAGTTATTGTACAGGGCGTTGTGGCCTCAGAGGCGAGGACGTTGTGTAGGACTGGGACCAAGGAAGTTGTCAAGACTGTCGGAACTGTCGGGCAAAGTTTGGGCGGGAAAAAATTAACTGAGGGTTCCAGTCCCCGAAAGGGGGTTTGTCGCATGACAAAATCTGGAGTGTTAGCAGGTAATGTTTATTGTCTTCTCGTGAACGACCCCCACAGCCAAGGAAAATCGGTAAAAATCAGGCAGCCAAGAACGAGAGCGGCAGGGGCGTAGGAAGCTTAGAATTTCGGTCGGTAGAAAAATTTCGGTCAGTGTATTTTAGGGGTAAAAAATTTTTCCGGACATACCATATTTTTCCTTAAATACTAAAAATTTTTTCCGGAAAAACAAATATATGATATTTTTATCGGAAACTAAAACATTTTTCGGGGAAAAACCTACATTACAGTTTTCAAAAGTTTCGTTTGGACAAAAACTGCGAATTTTATGAAAATTTTTCAGGCACGAAAAGGGCACTTTGCTCCTGTAAAAAGGGCACTTGCCAAAACTTGGGGGGGGGGGGCATGGCCCCCCTGGCCCCCCCGGTTCCTACGCCCCTGGAGAGCGGATTACCCTAGGTGCGGGGAAACTTACTACACACGTAAAAACGCACAAGTTGTAACAAACCTGCAGCAGACTTGTAGCAATTACTGTTCCAACAACTTGTCAACAGGATGTGTTCGCACTGCTTGTCCCCAGTTTGTTGACAAGTTGTCAACGGCTTGTTGGCAACTTGCTGCAAGGTTGCCGAGCTCAACAGACTTGTTACAAGTTGTTCCAACAACTTGTTATCGCCCTGCAATTCAACAATTTGTCAACAAGTTGTGAGTGACAACCTTGTAGCAACTTGAATAACAGCATTGCTACAACTTGTTGACAAGCTTGCTAGAAGCCTATATTGCGAATATATCTTGTTGACAAGTTGTGAGATTTTTACTTGTACACACGTAAAAACGCACAAGTTGTTATGGGTCTGCAAACAAGTTGTTACAATTCTGTTCACAAGCGGTCAACAAATTGTGTTCGCACTGCTTGTTCCCAGTTGTTGTAACAAGTCTGGACAAGCTGTTAACAACTTGCAACAAGCTTAATGGCATTATCAGACTTGTTACAAGGTTTTTCTAACAAGTCTGATACAGTCGTGAATCATGATATAACAAGAATTTTACAAGGTTGACGACACAAGGTTGTAACAATATTGTTATATCATGACTGCATCGGACTTGTTGGAACAATCTTGCAACAAATCTGATAATATCAAGGTTGTTGCAAGTTATTAACAACTTGTTCCATACTTGCTGACAACTTGGGACAAGCAGTACGAAGACAACTTGTTGACGGCTTGCTGGCAGACTTGCTACAAGATGTGAGATTTTTACCTGTATAATTGGAGGTTGCAATACTTTTTGCAATTTTTTTCACATTTGCATTTCAGGGGTAGCAGTTGAGTTAGCGTTCATGGGAAAAGATATTCGCGATGCTTCGGTGAAGAAGAACATGGGAGAAATAACGAAACAAGAATACGAGGAGACTGTTATCAAGAGAGTAGTAGGTGCCTCTGTATCCGCTCCTATGTCGTTAGCCGGAAGTGTCATAGGACAATACGTACTTCCGATTCCTGTTATAGGCAACGTGATTGGTGGAATAACCGGAAGTGCAGCTGGCAGGGTGGTCGGCGCGGTCCTGAGTACGGGTGTAATTAAGACCCGAGAACGTGTTGGGAAATTGATGAAATCGTTTTCATGGAAACGAGTTTAGTTGCTCAATATAATGGTTTGAGACCATTGCTCAAAATATTCTTGGCTATGTACGTTGACATGACAAACTATCAGTGGTCAGACTTTATGTCCCTTTCAAATTAAATCAATTTCTTTTACCATGCAAACCTTCAAAGTCAGTATGCCCAGTTGGGGACATACAGCCAATTCAAAAAAGGTTGTCCTTCAAATATCTTAATCCTTAAACATTGAGCGCGCAAGGTATGATGGGTATTTGCTTATTTGGAGCCGAAAATTGAACATTAGTTTAGTGAACCGAATAGCTCTACATCAACCTAGTGCATAATTAATAAAAGAGAGTAATATATTTTTAGAGTAATATATATATATATATATATATATATAGTAGTTTGCAAATAAAAATTTTTCATAAATATTTTTCCACGATAATTCTTAGAAATTTTGGGGAAAATTTTACACAGTACTTTATATAGATCAGTAGGCGTGCACCTGCACAGAGCCACCTTAAATAGTTGAACTCCGGGTCAGCCGCGTACCCAGGCGCTAAAAATGGGCACACTACAGTGTTTTTATATAGATCAGTGGCTCGAGCGCGCGGTGGTGCTTGGGGAGGTTGCAGTTCCTCCCCAAGCACCCCCGCGCGCTCGCTCATCTTAGCCACTGATCTATATAAAAGTACTGTAGTGTGCCTATTTTTAGTTAATTGCGCCTGGGTACGAGGCTGACTTCGGGTCACGTGAGAAGGAATCCTTCGTGTTCGCAGCTCAGGAAGTGAAATCTGTTTCCCTTCGAAGCCATGTGTTTCCGCGAGTCGACCGGAAACCGAAAATTTTGCTAATTTCTACACAGAAACGACGCTGTTGTAAACATCAGAAATACGCACAATATTGGGGCTTCTTTTTGACAAAAGTTGGAGCAAGAATTAAGGTACGATCGACATTTATACGTCTATTTTAATCGAGTGTAATTTGACTTCCTTTTCAGCGATGTGGAACGCTCGTTCGTGTTCCGTTTCTTACATTGGCAACTTTGCGCGGGAACTACGCTTATTTACCTCGCACGAATTAGGTTATTCAAGGCACCTTTTATGCTTGTCTTCGAACATTCGAATTGGATCGATTTTTTGGCTTTATTCAATGTATTTGAAGATGAATAATCTGATATTCGCTTCGTAAAGCACAGTTCTGAATTCAGCTAATAAAATATGGCGCGAATCTCTGCGTGAATTTGATTCTAGTATTATTAAAAAGTAGCCAAAATGCGATATGCTATAGTACTATAGGCCGGGTTTTTATAGAAATACTTGAGAAATACTTGCTACGAGAAAGCTGCTCGTTTCATAAGCATTCTGATATATATGAAATCGGCTGTTTGCTGTTGTTTTGTGTGTGAAAGAGCCCCTTTGTTTTTACGAACGTCAGCTTGGCAACAACAGAATTCGCCTTCTGTATGCTAAATGGAGCATTTGTTCACGCGAATTTCGGTTCTTAAGGGGATGGAATTATGTGTAGTTCAGGTGTGTTTTAGCGTTTTACAGTGTATTTGTGTTTTTATCGCCGTAAATTTCAACTTACAAGGAAAATATTTTCTTCCGAAATTGAACATATTTTTGACTTCCGGAGCTGACAATATGTAGCCAAAATATTTCTGCACTTGCATTCTGTGTTCGATTTTGGCTTGATTTACACTTGTTTCTAACGTTGTGTTTCGTTTCCAGTAAAGGATCTAGGCTTTTGCTTTGACAGATCTGTTTAAACGTATTAAAATCATAAAATATCAAACAGAAGTCCTTAAATATATGTACTGTAATTATATATTAACGTGAATAAAATTTCCTTAAATATTGGACCCTATATATACCTTCCTGAGATGTTCTTAGAAATGTAACGGGGCTGACATATGATCTATGTTGGGGTGCAATTTTGGGCTGGCTGTTTTTTTTTATATATTTTTGGTTGTATTCAGCTAAGATCCTGGAGGAAACTCAGTATTGTTTAAATTTAGAATTGCTAGACAAGCATTGTGAATGTCAACCCCGGCAATGGCATCATTGGTAGATCTTGGCAAGCGTCTTCTCGAAGCATCCAAGAAAGGTCAGGCTGACGAAGTGAGCATGCTCATGACGTCAGGAGCTCCTTTCACAACAGATTGGGTAGGAACGATACCATTAGGCCAAATAAAAAAAAACTTGGTTAGCGTCACCGCCCACCTCTCAATTTCTGCCGCCTCTGAATTTTTTTTATGGAAATCTCTTCGTTTTACAGCTTAAAACAGTTTAATATTTGAAATTTTTCTCATACTCAGACCTTTGCACTATATACTGATCGATAAGAGCGTGTGGGCTTGGAGCCTTGAGTACAAGGTTTGTATATCATAATAGCGGCCTTCGCAACATCAGTACAAAAATATCGATATGGTGGAAAAACCGCCCCCAAAAAATACTATTAAAAATTTTAAAAAAGAGCAAAAAGTTGCTCTCCCGCCTCTGAAAATTTGTGAGAGTGTGATGCTAACCAAGTTTTTTTTTTATTTGGCCTTCATGTTCATGTTTAGCTGGCCATGCATGTCATCAATCAACAATGGGTCATTCCAGAAAACATCCATACCTTCCCCAGTGAGGAATTTGGAATATAATACACTTACTATTATCAGAAAGAAATTTTTCTCCCCTCTCCCTCTGGATGGCAGAAATTTCCTCCATGTGGGGAGTGTGGATCTTTTCTGGAATGATCCAATGTGTCAGATGTTTTACAGTGTAATTTTATGTGCTGTACTCTGTTGTTTTACTCTGTTTAACTCGTTAAGTTGCATTGCGACCCTTTTTTACTCTATCTCACTCCAGATGATTTTACTCATCAATGGCTCTCAAGAGTGCTGGTGCTCAATGGGTTAATGCAGATGCAATGATTGTCCTTAGGCGTAAAAAAAAATACCTGTGGTTCCAGTTTCATATTGCAAAAAAAGTTAGGGTCGGTAGGTCGGAAATAAATTTTTTTTGAATATTTTTTCATGGTTTTTTCAATAATTAGTGTGACAACAGACGCCATTTTGGCAGTAGCCCGCAACCACTCGGAGAAAATAGGGTTGCACGGTCAATCGCGTTGAAAAAATAATAGGGTTGGCAGAAAAAATAGGGTCGGCAGAAAAAATAGGGTCGGTCGGGAACCGGAACCACAGGTATTTTTTTTACGCCTTATTGGAGGCAAAGTGTTGCAAATTACTGATAAATGCTTAACACCCCCTAACAGTTTTTGTAAGACCCGTCTTTATTGGTGTTTTTAGCTTGGTACATCTCCACTTCATCTTGCTGCTCAGTATGGTCACACAACAACAGCTGAAGTATTGCTCAGAGCTGGAGTGAGCCGAGATGCAAGAACAAAGGTACAGTATTACATAACCTGAAGTTCAGGCCCTAATTTGAAATAGGGCCTGACACAAAACCTGTCTAGACCGTGGGACGCCCACATGTTATTTTTAGACACACATGCAATATGATTGACAAGTGTTGTAGATTTCGTCATATGATTTCGTTACACAAAAAAATTATATTCTCATGAACATGTCCGCAGAGCATTTTGCTTTTTAATTAAACTTAAAAATTCAAGGTACTTTTATATAATTAAGAGTCAGTTTCTCTATTTAACCGAACAGGCGAACAGCAAACAAAGATTTAATTATAAGTCAGTTCTGTGCACGGCTTGACTGCCAAGCTTTCTCAAGGTCTCAAACTTGCTGGACGCGGATATACTCTAACGACTAACGGGCTAATAACAGCAACAATTAAATTTTCAATCATACCACGAAGAAGGCGATGTAGCTCAGAAAACAACGCCGGTAGGACCTGATATTAGAAATAAGACTTTTGCCGGCGAAGCAATTTGGCAGAACTTCTTGGCTGTCAACAACAAGCTTTCGAATACATGACTAGTTTGGCTGTTCTTTCAGCGTCGTGTGTCCAAAATTCGTCAAAGATTTTGATGAAGCCCTTTGAAAATACTGTTTGTTTGATTTGTTTTCTGCCATAAAGCATAAAAGAAAAGAAATTCGAAGAAATCGATAATGGAATTTGTTACGTGCGTTTGACCTTTATATTAATTCTCGCCTTGACCGAGCTATTTTTAAAACTGTTGTTTATGTGAACTTGCAACCAATCAAAATCCTTCATGATGCTGATCAACCAATCAGATTTCCCGTCCACCAGGTGGACGGGAATCCCACACTTTAGATAGGTTTTGTGTCAGGCCCTATTCTGTGATAGGGCCTGAACTTCAGGTTAAGTATTACAGCAAGCTCGGATTTTGGTGGAAATAGTGGGGGAGGTGGAAAAAAAATTGGGGGAGGTGCAACGGTCTAGCTCACGACCCCCACAGAAAGTTAGGGCTTAGAACGGGCCAAAGTCAACGATATGACGTATATATGTAGTGTACATATGTATCAGTGTATTACAGTGAAAGTACAAAAAGTGTCCCACGTCCACTTCTGTAGTTTGTTGTGATTTACTGTAATTTGTTCTGTTTTTCTGTAGCGATTACCGATTTATCGGCAAATACCGCGATAAAACTTAGTTTTCTCTACTTTTTAAATATGATAATGTGTAGCAAAGGGAAATAATACATTTTTCGTTAGTTTCATTGCATAAAAGGTACGCCGATAAATCGGTAATCGCTACAGAAAGACAGAACAAATTACAGTAAATCACAACAAACTACAGAAGCGGAAGTGGGACACTTTTTGTATTTTCACTGTAATGAATGATGACTGTACAACTCATCCAATTTTGCCCTTGATTACAATTACTACAAAGTTTCTTTCAAAACTTTGCATTCAAGTGGGTACTTGACACAGAGATGAATCTATCACTGTTTCAATTTTACAGAAAAACATTCGTACGAAGTGTAGACCCTAACCAACCAAATTTTCACTTTGATCTATCATTGAAACTTTCCCAAGGGGAGGTGCATGACTTTTCAGGGAGGTGCAAAAATTCTCAGGGGAAGTGCAGAACGATCTCAGGGGAGGTGCACACCTCCCCACACCTCCCCTCAAAATCCGGCCATGGTATTACAGTTGTATCTGAGATGAGCTGACTTAATAAAATTATGTCTTGCACATAGTTTTGCTTTGCTTCTTGTTTTTATTTATTATCATTCATAACCATGTCTTGAAATGTGTAATTTGTTTCAGGTTGACAGAACTCCTATTCATTTAGCAGCACAACATGGTCATATTGATATTGTTGACTTACTCATTGCTGGTGGAGCAAGTGTCAACCATACTGATATGGTAATTATATAATACTATATATAATTATATATTTGTCATTTGTTAATTAATGTAATAAACACATTTAAAAAAAGTCTATAATACTTGATTTATGAAAAACTTAATCCCACCAATGGTGCCATTAAGTTTTAGATAAATCTAGCAGTGGGTTACAAAAGCTTAATGTTTATCTAGTTTCAGCATACCTGTATGTTTTAACTAATTTCTAACAGGTGTTGTTTGGTGTGCAATATATGTATAGATGTGCACTCCTTACGATCTCTGGTGCACACACACACACACACAAAATATTTACTAACTACCTCTTGACCTTCAGGAACTTTTTATGAAAGCTGCTCTGGTAACCAATGGTACAGCTATACAGCTAGTAGTAGCGTAAGGCGGTTTCTACAAAAATCTGGAAAAAACCCAAGTGAACCGGCTTTTTATAGAAATATGTTTGAAAATCGGAACTACGGTAAAAAAAGACACAACACACTACTTGATTCATTTGCAACAAACTCGTATAAGTATGGTTCGATTTTAGTAAAATACCAATTTTTCTTTGGGAGGTTTTTCGTTTCCCCCTGGTTTTTTTCGGTTTTTCTCCAAAAGTAACATCGAGTATTTCGGTTTTCAAAAACATCTTTTTTTTCGGTTTACCGAAAAACTGCCTCACCCTATATACAGTAGTGGAATTCTTTCCCAATTATTTTACAGTGCAACCCTCAAATGGAAAGTATTGGCTGTTAACAATTGTTAAAAATAATTATTTTTGCAGCTAAATATGACTCCACTTCATTGGGCATGTGACTCTGGCCACATCCACATTGTTAGGCTCTTGCTGAGGAATGGAGCAAAAATGGACACAGAAAGCAAGGTACGAGATTAATTTCTTACTAACATAAGTAGTTCATGTTAATATATGTGTGTTGATGTACAGTACCAGTAATCTAGGTGTAAAATGTTTTATTTTTATTTAGTTCAAACACACGCCTATAGACATAGCGAGACTGAAAGGATTTCCTGATATTGTCGAAGTTTTAATTGAAGAAGAGGTATAAAACGTTTTCGATTATACAAATAGATATTGGATATTTTGTCATTACATACAAACAAGTAGTACATAAATTGGATATTGTATTGACTGAAAGACATTAGCGAGCTTAGCAAGCTACATTTTTGTCAACACGGACGTCAGTTGCCGTTGGAGGAGTGGATTAAAAACTGTGTTACAAGATATGTGTGTTAAAACCTGTGTTAAAAGATTGGTAAACAAAGCCTCTGATTGGACTATTAGCAAAAATGAAGCCAATCAAATAGTCTAAGCAACTGGATTGGAGCTTCCCTTTCTCTTATCGTTCAATCAGAGGCTTTGTTTACAAATCTTTTGTGAATATAAACTTGCAATTTGTTCGTGTCGATTGCAAATTGCTCGGAGCTATCCAGGGTGCGATAATTCGCGTACTTACGTACCAGAGGTACGCCAATATTACTGTCTGGTACTTATTTGTTTTCAGCCACGTAGCACGTAGGTACGCGGAACTCTTGCTGTCTGCGTACTTACTTTTTGCTGGTACCACATGACCTTTCCAAGTCCAAGGTATTCAATACCGTAATTTAGTTGGTATATCATGTGTTTAAGATGTCTTGGCATGAAACATGATTGCACTGATGGCACTAAGAAACGTTGGAGTCGGTTGTTTGAAATATCAAAACTCCCTTTTCAAATAGCAAAACTCCCTTTTCAAATAGCAAAACTCCCTTTTCAAATAGCAAAACTCCCTTTTCAAATGGCAAACCTCCTTTTTCAAATAGCAAAACTCCCTTTTCAAGTAGCAAAACTCCCTTTTCAAATGGCAAAATTCCCTTTTCAAATAGCAAAACTCCCTTTTCAAATAGCAAAACTCCCTTTTCAAATAGCAAAACTCCCTTTTCAAATAGCAAAACTCCCTTTTCAAATAGCAAAACTCCCTTTTCAAATAGCAAAACTCCCTTTTCAAATAGCAAAACTCCCTTTTCAAATGGCAAAACTCCCTTTTCAAATGGCAAAACTCCCTTTACAAAATTTTCAGGTTGTCCGGTGTGGATGCACACTCAGAGTAACATCACAAACATCATATATAAGAAATTTTACCTTCATACAGCCACCAAGTTTATTCGCTGACTTTGTCAACCGTTCAGCCCAGACAATAAAGCACATTACACTAAAATTAGCAGTAAGGATGGCATGGGGAGTCTTCAGATGGAAACAGCAATGTCTCAAAAATTAGGGCTGTATTTAAATTGAGGTTTGTAATATGGTAACTGCATGATTGGGCTGTTTAAAATCCGACATTGCTAGCAAGCATATATAGTACATGGTTATAAAAGGCATGCAAGTTTAAAAGTTTGCAATCATTGAACTGTTGGGTTGATCTGGTACCTTCTTCTGAAGCTGATCTTTTTCTTTTTGCAATTTCTTTTCTTGCATGGCAGCTGCCCGACCTTCTTTCTGTCGTTTCTTTTCCTCGAGTTTCTCTTGCCTTTCCTTCTCTTTCGCTGCTTTCTTTAACTAAAATTGTTTTGTCAAACATTCACTGTATGTAATATAGAATCATACGTACATTCCTTTTGTTCATATAAAGCAGCCCTTGAAAACAAGCTAGGTCCGCATTCGGCAATGCAAACCCAGGGCTGCAAATAAATATTTGACTTGACAGGACATTTGTCCGATCACTTTTAATTTTGGTCGGACATAACTTGAATTTGGTCGGACAAAAACCAACATCACTAAATTTGGTCGGACATATATATGTCACAAGATATATATAAGGCACGAGACAAGTATGTATAGCCATTCTGGCGCAACGTTAAGTAAAATGCTAGAATGCCTTATTGCAAAATGCAAATTGAGTGAATTTGCAATCGGATTTTGTCACAGCAAAAAAATGTGTGTGACAATTTTTTTTTGTGATCTGACCAATGTCCGATCAAAATTACTTTTGCTCGGACATTTGCCAAATTTAGTCGGACATTGTCCGATGTCTGACAGTAATTTGCAGCCCTGCAAACCTAAATGCAGACTTGTCAACATCCCGGGTCGGCAATTTTGTAATGTCAGATGCAACAAATGTTGTATGAAAAATGTATTTTTATCTATTTAAAAACATTGTCATTGTCTTTATAGCTTACCATGTTAATCAAAGCATGTTATTAATACATGTTTATTTTCTGTTTATGACTGACTTGTTTATTACTAACACAAAAGATTGTCCATGTAGAAGCCCCCCCCCCTCTCCATATATAAACCCCCTTGTATAAGCCAAAAAATTGCTTACAAAAGAATTCCCCTGGTCTAGGCCCACCTACCATAGCTAATTCTCGCTTCCTTTCCTCAACCTGTTCCCTTGTTCTCTTTTTCTTCTTTACAGGTTCATCCAAATGAACATCTTCTTCATCTTGTATTGATCCTGAACTCCCTTTAAATCCCCTCACCATTTCCACACCAGAATCGACAATATGACAATCCTTACTTTTATTCACAACTGTCTCTGAGAAATTCCCTTTTTTATTACTGGTAGTGGTACTCTGAGTGTGATCATAGTCAAAAGCTGGTTTCAATAATTCTGAATCTGGGCTCGAAGGAACAGATTCTTTTGAACAATGTACTATCTTTAAATGTCTTTGATGTTGAAGCTTCTAAATTAATTATACTAGATTTAAGTCTTTCCAAAGTTTTTCTACAAGTTGCCGAGGCATCTGTTAATTCTGAATCAGAGTCTGTGAGATCAAAAGATATTTTATGGTCATTGTTTGTTGTTTTTGAAATTTCAATAGGCTTGACAGTTATTCTTGGGTCTGTGGCATTAAAGTTACTTGTGGTTGATTCATTCTCGGCTTCACTTCTTTTTTTAATGTTTGTGAATTTTGAAGACGGCATTATCATGGCATCATCATCATCATCATCATCCATCACTATGGTTACAGGGTTAGTTTGGTTTGGTGAACCAAATGATGAACTTCTTGGACTCAACTATACAATAATGTAAAAATAGATGATCATATTAATTAACCAATAAATATTATAATAATCGTACAACATATCATCTTATCTAGGCTCCAGACTGTAAAGTTTTTGGTTACAGTCTGATCTGCACATGTGCACAAAGGAGCCCTCTTTTTATTTACAAACAGTATATTTAGGTTTTTATTTCATTTTATGTTCTTGCAAAGCTTGATTGCTGTTCTCATTTATTATACTCTAGAATCATGAAGATATAAATAGTTGTCGAATAAAATTCAATATTTTGGATACCGAAATGTATTAACAAAGCCTTTGTTTACATACGGACTGTACCGCATCTTTAAGAGTTTAAGGTTTGCAAAGGACTACCTTTTTTGAATTAGCTGTGATCATACAACACCACCAGAATCCCACTATTCTACGTACCCTCCATACAGTACATTGAGTCCGATATTTATATTGTGTTGGACTTTTACCCAATAGTATTAATGATGCACAATGCTCATAAATTTGCTTCATAATGAGTAATTCCATGCCATTTCAACACAAAAAAAACTGATTTGACACCCACCCTCTCCAAATTTCTTTATATTTCGCAGGCAGTTAACATTGTGTGGGAATAGTTTAATAAGTTCAAAATTTGAGCATCGTAGCTGCAATAGTTTTTGAGATATCGCAATTCGAAATATGGCCCGAAAAGCAAAAAAGTGGGCGTGGCCAATGCTAAATTCACCATTACCCTATTTTACATTTTGACCTGTAACTTCATACCTGTACATGGTATATCCATCAAAATTTGCACAAAGATGTATTTGTATGCGGAGATTTCAAATATTGCACTTTCATCTTTGTATCTGCAACCAGTAATGTGTTATGGCACAGCAAAAAGTCTAATTATGTGTTTCTGAAGACACGAAATATACGTCATCTTTATGGGAAAAATTTTTATGGAAGCCATACAGATACAACAGTAATTTTTATTCCACATCATATCCACATGCTATTCTACTTTTAAGCAAAATTTGGTGATGGTTAGTTGCCTGCTTTAAAAAGTAGAGCCCTTTAAAGTTGTCGTATTTTCTAAATAACTTTAATAGTAGGTTTTGGGTGTTTGTTAAGAATAAAATACATTCATTGAGAAATGAGACTGCCAAATACTTTAATGTTTACTGTTGCAACATTGGCACTCCCCAAGTTGCAAGGAAAATGGCGAATTTTAGTTACTGTCAACTTCTGTCAACTGCTTTTACAAAAATACCCATATCTCAAGATCAATGTTATAAAAAACCTTGAAATTTTGCAGTGGGTTAAAATGATAAATTATTAATCAATTCTATTTTAAGGTTACAGGATACCCTAGAACGTAAAAATTTTGATTTTTTTTTTCTTTACATGTTCTTGT